CCCGCCAAAATCTGGAGACTCGCCAGTAAGATTTCCTCAAAGCAACATCCCCATCCTGTGGCCATTTAGGGAACTGCAGCTAAAGATTTACACCTTTCAACCCTTCACAAAAGGCTTAGTATCCTTGTTTGAACTCATTTACTTGCACCCAGTGAGCTTGCTGCTACCAACCAACCAAAGCCCTGGAGCAGCCCTTGTTTGCTTTCTTTTTGGTACTGGGGATTGACCCCAGGGGCACTTTACCACTGGGCTACACCCACTGCCCTTTTTATTTTTTATTTTTGAGACAGGGTGTCACTAAGTGACTTAGGGCCTTGCTAAATTGCGGAGGCTGGCCTCCAACTTGCAATCCTCCTGCCTCAGGTCTCCCAAGTCACTGGGATTACAGAGTGCACTACAGCTCCCGGCTCCTGGAGCAGCTCTTGTGCTGGATGTGTGCCACAGTCCCTGCCCACCTCCCAGCCACTGAGAAAGTGATACACATCCCACACGCCAACCCAGATGACACAGATGAGCAGTCAAGCTCAGCATCCCTGAGAACATCAGCCCTGTCACTGCCCCTTCTCCAGGCAACCTCTCCCTCCTCCCCTGCTTCTTGTTTCAGGTGTCATCTCACCGATGGGTGAACCTGGACCAGCCCCACCTGGGCCAAGTGGGTCTTCATGGCATCTGCCAGCTTGGCCACCAGCCGTTCCCGCACAGAATCTGGCTCCTTCTGGAAAGAGGGAGATAATGGGGGAAAGGAAAGGCCTGGACTTTGTAGTTCTCAGGGAACTGGGTGAGAAAGAAATAGGAAAGAGGGGAGGGAAAGGGGCTTTATCTCCCCTCCTCTACCCCAGCCCTGTGCCTTTCCCAGTGTCCTGTGGACAGAGAATGCCTCTTCCTCCCAGTAGTATACGGGACCCAGCACTCAATGTGTCCAGTGTATGGTTTTCTTTTTTAAATTTTTTTTTTTAGTTGTAGATAGACAGAATACCTTTATTTTATTTATTTTTATATGGTGCTGAGGATGGAACCCAGGGCCTCAGATGCACTAGGCAAGCACCCTACTCCTGAGCTACAATCCCAGCCTCCAGTGTATGTTTTCTTTTCTTTCTTTCTTTCTTCTTCTTCCTTTTTTTTTTGATTGTTTGGTACTGGGGATTGAATAAAGCCACATCCCCATCCCTTTTTATATTTTATTAGAGACAGAGTCTCGCAAAGTTGCTTAGGGCCTCACCAAGTTGCTGAGGCTGGCTCTGAACTCAGGATCCTCCTGCCTCAGCCTCCAGAGCCGCTGGGATCACAGGTGTGCGCCACCACACTCAGCTCCAGTGTATGTTTGAGAGTGAGTGAGTAACAGGAGAAAGAGTAAAGACCGGAATATCACCTGGGAAGGCTTCTTGGAGGGACAGTGGGGAAGAGGACCTCACCTGACACTGTATCAGCGCTTCCTTATAGTACTTCAAAGCCTGGTCATATTGTCCCAGTCTGGCTGCAGCAGCCCCAAGACCCTCGTAGGCCTGCCACAGCCCCTTTGTGTCCCCTGGGAAAGAGAGTCTGAAACGTTCCTCATCCTGTCCCATCCCGTGGACCGTCCACTCCAGAGGTACTCCCCACCCCTAGATCCCCCATCTGCCTCCCCATAGCCCCAAGGATCCTCAGTTTGGGGGTACCCCACCCAAGTCATGGGCTCCCCCTCAACTCTTACCAGCATCCTGGGCAGCCAGCAGGGCATGCAGATAGTTGTCTCTGGCGGCCCTGTGGTCCCCCAGCTGGCTCAGCGCGAATGCCAGGCTGCCAAGGCTTCGTCCCTGCTCCCATCGCTGCCCCAAAGAGCCTGATGATAGATCGCAGCCCGTCCTAAGAGGGGACTTTGGTTGCGGGGCATCAGGACCCTGCCTCCCATCAAGTAAGGAAGGGTGCCCAGGGATCCCGCACCCAGCCCCGGCCCAGCTCCAGGTGCACCACAGAGGCCTGAACTCTCTGTGCCGGCTTTTCGGGTCCTGAGCTCTGACCCCGTTGCCCACCCTGGCTGGTTTTACCATGCACCAACCTCGTGAGATAGGCAAGGCACATGTTTTGGTTTGGTTTGGTTGTTTGTTTTGTAGTCCTGGGGATTGAACCCAGGGGCTCTTTACCACTGAGTCACATCCCCAGCCCTTTAAAATTAATTTAAATTTTTTATTTTTAGGTATTGAGGAGGGAACCCAGAAGTACTTTGTCACCGAGCTGCATTCCCCAGTCCTTTTTATTTTTTATTTTAAGACAGGGTCACACTAAGTGGCCCAGGCTGGCCTTGAACTTGCAGTCTTCCTGTCTCAGCCTCTGACTAGCTGGGATTACAGGCATGAACCTCCGTGCCTGGCAAGGCAGACCTTAATAGCTCCATTTTATATGGGGGGAAACGGAAGCTCAGAAGGACACACTCAGTCAGAGGAAGGGCTGGGCTCCGCCCGGGGCCTCTTATCCCAACCAGTGCCCTTCCCTGTGTCCATCGCTGCCTTTGCAACATGGGGGTGCCAGCTCCTGGGGCCGCAACCCTCTGTCCCCTCTGGCTATCCCATTTCCTGTACTCTCAGCCCTCACCTCCTCACTCTCGGCTTCCAGGCCCAAAGACCTTGCAAAGGTCATCTACCTTGAGTCCTGGGCCCCACTGAAGCCCCCCCCCCCTTACTCCTTGAGCCCCAGTCTCATTCCCCAGCCCCTGCACTCACCATGGAGTTCAGCAGCCTTCTGGTGAAACTGCCGGGCTTCCTGATAGTTGCCAAGGGCATTGTGGGCCATCCCCAGGTTTCTTAGCACAGTGGCCTGCTCTCCTGGCCTCTGGCACAGGGACAGGGCCTGTAGGAAGGTCTCCACGGCCAGAGGGAACAGCTGGAGCTGGGAGTAGCCCAGGCCTAGATCGTTATAGAGCTGTCCTGGAGGACACAGACAGAGCAGTCACGTCTGGGGCCGTCCACTCGCCCCTTCCCCGACCTCACAGTAGCATCAGCTCGGTGTCTCCCCAGACCCACATCTTCCCTGCCCAAGGCCTCACCCAGCAGCCCCTGCTTGGTGCTCCTCTTGGCCAGCCTCCGGCTCCCCTCCAGCACCTGCGCCACCTCGCCCACCCCGTGCCGCCCACTCTTGAGCATACACTCCGCTGCAGCCCCCAGTGCCCGGGCTGCAGCCCGAGGCCGGCCTGCTTCGGCGTAGGCTTGGCTTGCTTCCTTCAGGCACTGGGCTGCTCTCTCGGGCTGTCCCAGGGCTTGGTAGCAGGCTCCCATCTTCGCTTGGGCTTCCCCCTGGTCACCCTGTGGCTGGTAATGACTCAGGGCCTTGTGGTACCAGTTTAAGGCTTGGGGCAGGTCACCCAGGGCATGGTAAGCCAAAGCCACGTTGAAACACTGGTCACCATGACACGTGCCCTGTGCCTTCTCTTCAGGTTGGGCTCCAAGGAGCAGCTCAAGGCCTCTGGCCGGGTCCCCAGTCTCCACATAGGCAGCCCCCAGGTTGAAGGCGCAGGCCCGAAGCACAGGGTTATTTCTGGTTCGTGGGGCCTCACAGGCCAGGAGGAAAGCCTTCTGGAAGTTGGTCAAGGCCTCGTGGTTCTGACCGGCTTGCAGAGCCCGGTGGCCAGCCCTGGTGAGGGCCTGGATAATGGCCTCTTGCTGTAGCCACTTTCTTTTCTTCTTGTCACTCAAGGGCTCTGGTTCCTGGGGGATATCCTCAGGACTGGGGGGAGACATTGGGCTGACAGTGGGGAACAGAGGGTCAGTACGTCCACCCTGGCTTCCCCAACAGAAGGATCCCTAAAGGGCAATCCAAGTCTGCCCCTGTCCAGGCGCAACCCACAGGTTCCGGGGTCTCCCTCTGACATCTCACCTCATGTCATCTGTCCCAGTGTGCCGCAGATTGACACTGATTCTGAGGAACTTCTTCTTAGCTTTCCTTCAGCTCTCAGGTTTCTTATTTTTTCTTTCAGAAAGTCCCCTTCCCTGCCACTGACTGGGGACTTCTGTGGTCCTACAGCCCGTTATGCCTGTGTCTTTTACGGTATTTATTACGCTGGTTTGGAGACGCTAACTTTCTTGTCTGTCTCTCCCATTAGATTTGGAGCAACTTGAAGGCACATAATAGATTCTTAATAAACTTAATGAATGAGTTCTAGGGACAGCTGCTGCTGATGGGTATATAGTGTGAGTGTACTCAGTGCCACCAAAGTGGACACATAAAAATGGTGAGAATTCCGGGCACAGGGCTCACACCTGTAATCCCAGTAGCTCAGGAGGCTGAAGCAGGAGGATGGCAAGTTCAAGGCCAGACTTAGCAATTTAGCTAGGAAGAAAAAAAAAAAGATAAGGAAAAAAAAATGGTGAGAATAACTGGGCATAGCGGTGCAAGTCGGTAATCCCAGCCACTTGGGAGGCTGAGGCAAGAGGATTACAAATTGGAGGCCAGCCTGGGCAATTTAGTGAGATCCTGTCTCAAAATAATAATAAAAAGGGGTTAGGGTCATAGCTCAGTGATAGAGCACCATTGGGTTCAATACCTAGTACTGCCACCACTTCTGGCCTCAAAATTTTCTTTTTTTTTTTTTAAA